TATCCTTACTATCTTACCTCAGTGGTTTAGGAACTAAAAACGAGCGCCAAAAACGGGAAAATCTTGAAAGCAAGATGACCTTATCAAGTTTCTCTCGGCTTCAAATAGAGAACTATGTCATGACAGCTTTTAGTATTCAACCAATAAGAACATACGGACCGCAAACAATATTTGTACGGGTAGCTGTTGCAAAATTTGAATATCCCTGTTTTAATGGACTAATTGCTTGTTATTGTTTTGGTACCAATTTTTATTGGACACCTTTTAAGAAGAGATAACCAAATTCTTAACTGAATTCGATTTGAAGAAAGTGACATCATTTCGTAACATTTCCACGAAAGTAACGAGAAACTGATGTAGATTCCTTAGTCCTGTGGGGCTCGCTCAGTAGTAGATTCTTGCACCCACTCCCAGTAATTCTCCATGCATCTTTCTGCCTTACGGGAAAGTAGATAGTAGTTTTTCTCTCTTAGAAATTTATTAGAATTTATATATCCTCTGTATTTGGAAGTGTAAGAGTACCAAAAAGAGATAAATGTGATACAAAACTGTCTGACGCAAATGAAGCACCCTCAGTATGTTAACTTTAAGTGTTTAGCCATTTTGGCAGCGGGCAGCATTAGGGGTTTGTTTAACTTGTCTGTTTACCTTACTCGACTTCCCTGTGAAGCAAAATGTTTCCCCGAGGTTTCACTTAGAACATGGAGCTATTTAAAACTGTAGATCATAAAAACGGTCAGTTTTGAAGTTAATTGAAAGTATGCTGTTTAGAAGCAGAAGCATATCCTTCTGTTAGAAGTTAATGATCCAGGGGAGAGCCACAGCTAATTGTTGGAAATATGATTCTCACAAAACAGATACGTTTAGATCTACCAATTACGACCTTTTTTGTACAGATTAATGATTACGGAAAGTGGGAAGCAAGTTTTCAAATCAGTATTAAGCCACAGGAAATAGTTTTAACTTCTGCTTGGCGCGAAACGACAAATTCAAAGAAGGAGTAAATAAATTCTGCTCTACACGTTCCTGTTTGGCTAATGTTTACAATGTGGTTGGCTCATTTTGAGTAAACTGAGTCAATTCAATTAAACCTTTCCAGCAAAAAGCCTGATTCTCAGTATTATATTGATTCTCAATATATAGGCATTTGGTATTTATCCACCTGCTGTTAACGTACTCCCTTGCTATATAAGAATATAAGACTAGTATAACTGGCCATTTTATATTTATTATTATTGTTATTATTATTATTATTATTATTATTATTATTATTATTATTATTATTGTTGTTGTTGCTGTTGTTGTTGTTGTTGTTATTGTTATAGTTTTATTTTTTTCTAAGAGCTAGGATGACTTGGAAAATAATTATAACTAGAAGGCGATGATTAATTTGAAAATCGAAATATCGGTACTATAGGAATAGTAAACTAACTAAACTCAAGTACAGGGATAAGGGGTAACCAAACATCCCTCCACCTAAATGGTACAGACTTTAAACTTAATTATATCTTGCGGTTTTGGAGCAACAAAGAGAAAGTTGAGCTGATTCGAGTGCAGGCTTATAACTAAATGGTGCATGCAAAAATATATTTATAGACAATTTCAGCGGGTAATTAAGAGATTAAATTAAAAATCCATCCGCCAAATGACGTATGTAAATCGTGTTTATCTTCTTATTTAAAGCAATGGTCAACTTAACTGTTAAAATACGTCGAAGGATTTTTCTTGACTATCGGTTAACTCTCAGTTATATATTAGAAAGTAACCTGATTTTATGATTCCGAATAAGAGAATGAAATCGCACTTTTGGTAAAAAATATATGTCAAAAAAGAAAGAAGGGAAAATAAAAGAGAATGACCCTGTTTTATTCTTCAGAGTTAACTTGCCAGAAACAAAGACTGAACTGTGTCATTCAAGTCCTTTACAACTGGGTTCCTCTTAGCTTTCTTCCCTTTGTTTTATGACATTTTTGTTTCTGGAACCCAAACTCAGGGTTACAAGCTCGTTGTGCAACATGTTTCTCATTGGTATATCAAACATGTTAATTCTACTTGCGGATATTTTTTTCAAGCTTCGACGGGCCTATGCAGCCTTGTATTGTGGCCCTATAGTTAATCAATCATTCTTTGATAAAATTTGACGTATGAAAAATTGCGTGAAAGTACTAATTTATGTGTAGAAATTTTGAACAGTAGGCGACAAACAAAGGGAAACTTCGTCACGTGGTACAAATTCGCGTTTTCCCTTTGACGTAAGCGTGACCCCTAACCTTGCAAGTATCCTGTCTGAATGACTTAGAGAGCCCCAGAAAGGAAGACTTCAAGGAGTTAAAATCCAAAAAATTTCCTGGGCGAGCCTTTTCCCGGACACCCTAGAAGCTTGCGCTTTCAGCACTCGTTTAGGAAATCGGTCAGTACTTATCTTAGATCCGCGCCTGATAATGGTCGACCTGTGTAGGAGGTTTTTCTAAGAAATCCTTCTAAAAGGATCTTGTAGAAATAGAAAAAAATAGCGATTGATTTCACATTCACCTGGTAATCTTACTGTCACTTCAAGATATAATATGAAAGGGGCACAATTAATTTTAAGGACAACTTAATGGAAAGTGATTCGGGGGTCTCCATGACCATTAAAGTCAACGGTTTGTGTAGACTACATGTTGATGTATTAACAATAAGCCACAATGCAGCTATAAATGTAATTTTCGTATACATATTGTGTCATTATGAACATTAAGATAGCTTGCATGTCTTCTCGGAGAGGTTTTTGTATTTATTTCTTTGTATTGTAAAGACTGAAATATAGTAGCTTGTAGTGAACCTTTTAAACTGATATTGTGTTTTTGTTAAATAAATCAAGGAGACGTCCAAGTAATTCTCCTGTCATCATACAGATCTCCTGACTCCTGTCATGAACGATTAACCAATTTTATTAAATATTTTGTTTATTGAAATATGTTTTGTAAAATTTTTGTATTTGCTATAAAATGCTGAATTGTAAGCACAATTTAACTGGTCTCCAGCTGGGGGATATTGACCAGGGGGAGTGAACAAAATTTCACACGGGGGTGGGGTCTCCGCCCCGAGGTCCAACCCCTAGCCCTTTTATACACCAGTTTTGACAGAAAAAGTACCCCTTTCGAATCACATTTTGTTAATATAACTAATGATATCATCTTCACGTACAGAAAGTTATCTTGTCTTTTTCACAGCTATAAAATACACCTTTTAGGTCCCAGATACCAGTTAGCAAAACCTACAAACCCGAAAATGGTGTACTTGTGAGCTTTTAATGACGTTCAGTTCTTATTATTGACCTTATTCGAACCTTATACTTCGATTACGATAATCTACAGAACGAAGCTACTATTTTCGAGGAAACAATGCTTCAAATGGTTGTAAAAATAAACTGATCAGTGAAAACGCCGTGATATTCAGTCTACCGGTATCGAAGTTGCTCGCTACTGTTGTTACCTTAGTCGCGGGAAGGAGACTCTTTTTCCGCCCTGCTTTCTATCTTCAAGACTTTCGTGTCATTTCGAGAGGGATTTTGCCAATCATTTTAGCTTGCATTGTTTCCTTCGCGGTTTGTTTTGTTTTTTCTTCCCACCCAGCATAACTTTTCCAGTGCTGAGAAGACTCGAAAACGAGTGTTGGGATTCCTGTGGTTTAAAGGGGAATGGGTCTGAGAGGGTCGACACCTGAGAGGGCCGAAAGGGACTGGTGAGCACAGTGTTTAAAAATGGCGGACGATGTAGGGTGATGAAACTCGAACCTGTATGTTTTTCGCTTCCAATTTCTTCATATATGGCATCCCAGAGCCCTAAAACGTGTAAGAACAATTATTTAATGCGATGAGTGAACGTCTGGCTATTCCTGAGTGCCCCTAGCATCAAACAGCCCCTCTGTAACTCGTTTTATTCGCTACGAACATCTTCAGGAGGTGTTACATCGACTCTTGTACTGCATCCACTGGACCTGATAAAAATTAGGTTTCAAGGTAAAATTCTAGGAATAACTTGGTTTTGTGTAACGTGCAAATGCTTAAGCAACAGAAAAAGTTTTCCGTGTTTGCATAGCCTGAGTGTTTATATCAGGCTATGCAAACACAGGAAAAAAGTTTTCTAATGCTCTTATAAAATAACTCTCCCGAGAAAAAACGCAAACTCTTTGCTACGGTCCTGATTAAAAGAGAAATTCTTACCAGTCGCAAAGTTTTATACACGACGTCTCGCACGTGTAATGAGTTCTTGTTTTGCAAAAAGATGCTTTCCAAAATACGGATTTTCTCGCTTAAAATGTCAGCTTAAGCGAAAAAAATTGACACACCTTCTTTTTAATGATTTTCCAAGTTTCAGCCGACGAAGGAATGGGTAAATAAAGCAAACTTGTCGAGTTTTGAACTTGAAAACTTTTTCAAATTAATTTGTGCTTGCGTGATCAGCGTGCAAAAAGCAAAACATCTTGATGCCACAACCATGTTTACATACTCTCATGCGATCAGAGCGTGCGTACTATCTTAGTTATTTTATAAATGGCAATGTTAAATGTAATGCTATATGCAACTAGCTGTGTGGTGTGAATGTCAAAACTATAGCATGAAATAAATCAGAAAGCGAAAAAGGCTAATAAGGTTCGTACACTTCTTCATGTATATTTAAGACGTACACGTATTTATTTGTCCAAAAAGGTCAACTTCAGTTGGATTTTGCCTTCCTCATGATTAAAAAGATAAGCTGGACTCTTCTTTCAGATGAAAAATCAAGTCCTAATGATGGCCATTTTTAGAGTTTCCTCAATAAGATTCCTAATTCTGCCATTGCAGTAATTATCTTCATTAATCCCATTTTCCTGACAATGGTTATTGACTAATCCCCGTCCGAAATTACATACAAAAACGTGCCTTATAGGAGTTCCAGACTTCCTCATATTAGGAGATTCAGTCAATCATACATGTAAATGTAGTGGGATAAAAAGGCAGTACACTGCATCATCAAAAT